CAACTGCCACTTTACCTCTCACGCATTTCCATTTAGATAAGCTTGCATAGAATATATATATATATATATAATTGTATTTTTCGAAATGGTCGCTCTCTACTATAGAACGGGTGACGGTAAGCCCGCTTTGCAGGCAAATGTTGTCTGAAGCATTTTGTTTGGCTTCCGATAAGATGCAAATTTGCAAAATTCATTCTAGGGGCGAGCGGGTGCCTTAAGCTACTCGCCAGGCCTTGGCAAAGGTATCGGATTGAATCTTACTAATATCCACTTGAAAATTCAAGAAAGTACGAAGCCCCCTTTGCAACTTGTACAAACGCGTACAATCAGGAAAAGCACTACAGGTGGTATACTTGGAGCGCTCGCTAAGGTACACAATTTAGAGCCCTAGTAAGGAAGGTAGAAAGTGCTGTGATCTGATTACCGCACTATAAGTTGGGTCAAGGGGTGCACAAAATTGTTTGCTATAAGGAAAGCAAAATTATGAGAAACAAAGAGGTGCTTGCTAATCGGAGACCTGAGGTCTCCCGTAGGTCTCCGCCGGAGACCTAGATCACAAAAAGGTATGACGATTTTTTCATTTTCATAATAGTTCAAAGATTTTTCAAACACTTTTTCTACTCCTAGTTTCGCGTCTTTGCGCCAATTGGTGGCTGTTCATTGTCTATTCGCTTATAAAACGGGTTTATCTAAATTTTTTGAACTCTTTTAACTTCCCGCCTAAAAGCCCGCGTTGGAACAAACATTGAACCTTTGCTGGAGCAGGTTTTCAAACGGTATTTAAGGTGTATGGAATGACTCTCAGTTAAGAGTAGAATAAGACGGAAATACTTAGGCCGCATGCATGAACATCCGCGCTAGGAACGAGAGGGGGGAGCTTCTACATTCTTGTTGTGGAAAAAACAGTGATAGAGTTTGAACTCCAGACTCCTCTCCGGACCCCATACGATTTTCTCTTTGCTTTTTTCGCAAAAACGACCCACCTTGCCCTCCGGAGACATGACGCCGAGGTCTTCTACTCGCTAATTTCTCAGTTGATTGACTCGTGTATCTGTTTCTGTAGAAATCTTCAAATTAGTCATCTGGATATCCACTGCATTGGTAGTTACAAAGAACCTTAGGGTCATAACTTGACTACGGGAGAGAGGGATAGTCCTTGAAAACGCTCGCTATTTTGTGTATTTCCACTCTACGGCTGATATATATTATCCATATCCTTTCAAGTAACGTTAGTTTGAAAGTTTT